GGAGAGAGAGAGAGAGAGAGAGAGAGAGCGAGAGAGAGCGAGAGAGAGAGAGAGCGAGAGAGACAGAGAGAGAGAGAGAGAGACAGAGAGAGAGAGAGAGAGAGAGAGAGAGAGAGAGAACATATAATATTTTTAATTGTTTTCACGTTGTACCACATTATGTGAAGAAGTAAACTTTGTTCGACTTTGCAAATGTGAGGCAGCGTGGTGAAATCAGGCACTCGTCAAAATAACGAAACCGGAGAAACAGGCAATTTTCCGCCAGTGGGGAAATTTTTATCGAATTTTTATTTTTTGGCTTAACCTCTTTCATGTCCATATAAAACACATTGCCATGTGAATCTTACTGATTTGAAAAACACTTTTCACTGATTAAAGGCTCAAAATATGCCATTTTTTTTTCAGTTTTCGAAGACTCTTTAGCTATTGGAGTTACCAAACTTTGGCAGCCATTTTGTAGCTAATTTCACTACTGAAACCTCACTTCTTTCGATCGCAAATACCTTGAGTTCAATTCAAGATAAATGGATATTTATTTGATTGAAAGCAGGGCAAATAAATCAGCTTTCAGATGATACTAATAACTCCACATGCCCAAAGACTGACAAGCGCCTGACTCCACCGCGTCGTGACAGATATGTGAGGTGTGCTGGCAAAATGAGTTACTTCTCGGATTTTAGCGTTATGGAAACTGATACACCAACTTGATAGCTGAAGTTTGTGCAATTTGTGAGCATGGAATAGTAAAAGACACGGTAGACTTGAACAAAATGGCATCTATTGAAAATCTATAAATCTGACCCCAGTGTCGATTTTCAGCTGATATCTCCATTCTTGGGTCGTGAGAAGTAACTCATTTTGCCAGCAAATCTCACATAAAATTAATTCAAACTAACCGGAAGGGCACAAAAGGAAAAGCAAGACGTGAAGCGTGCTGACAGAATGAGTAACTTCTCGCAATCCACAAATGGAGAAATTGGCCCAAAATCAACATCAATGAGGGTCAAATTTGTAGATTTGTTTTTTATTGATGCCATATATATAATATATTCTTAAGCCATAACCTGTCTTTTATCAGTTCATACTTATAAATTCATATTTCCACTCCTTAAACCACGAGGAGATTGGTCTTATAGATGTAACTCAATAGAATGACCAAACACAAAATGAGAATAGACATCTGCTTTCCTCTTGAAAAAAAAAAAGAATGGTGATCTGAAGATATAACCTCAAATTGTATGGATTGCATTATCTAATTTAACGTATTCATACAACGTATCTGATCCCATACAATCGGCGGATTCCAAGTAGTGTCTTTTAGAAATTTTGATTTATAATAATATTGCTCCATTTATTATTTTAATAATATTTCATTATTTTACTTAAATCAATTCTATTGTTAGTATTATTGTTTTTTATATTGATGTTATGACCGTGTTTCTTCTTCTTCTTTTTCTTCTTCTTCTTCTCATTATCAATATTTGTATTATGATAATCATTAGCATTATTTATTTATTTATTTATTATATATTTATTTATTTATTTATTTATTTAATTGATGTTTTTTTCCCCCCCTTAATTATCATTAATACTGCCCTTAATCCATAAACGTGTTATCGATAAAAAAAATAGACGGTAACATAAATGATGACACTATAAGGGGGGGTTGGGTGATGAGAAGGGGTGGGGGGAGGGGGGGAGGCAATTACAGCGAATTATAGGCGCGATTTCCAATTTGAGAACCATAGATATGGGGTACATAGAAGCGGAACCAATAAATTGGCAAAAAGATATTATTAATCCGAATACAGGAAAACGAGGCTAAAACAGCACCTGGACATGGATGGCTGGTGCCTCTATAAATAAATCATTGATGGTCTGGTCTGACTTATAAATTATTGCAAAGACTTCACCTATAAACGTGATGTATCTTTATTTCCTTAAGGCAAGCCCTGAATCCGAGAAGTAACTCATTTTGTCAGGAGCATGCTTCACAGATATATAAAAGGAATTGTGAAGGCCGTAAAACTATTGATGATATTACTTATTACAAATCTATATTCAAATTACAATGTGAAGAAGACATAGTGTGACTTTGTAACAAACAAATGCGATGGGCTATGACGAAAGCATTAAAGTGTCAGAAGCTTATACGAGTTCTAAACTAATAGATCTCTCTCTCACTTCACTCGCAGGGATTTTCTCACCTTGTTCTTGCTTGAAAACTAACGCTTGCTGTGAACAGAATACAAAAAAAGAAATAATAGTACTTAACTTACATTACATGGAATGTATCTGAACAAAAGAATATACATATGAGTTTTTAAAAATAGTTAAGGGCAGCTCATAATTAAAGGAGAAAGAGTCATTGGGTTGACATAACGTTTCATAATATCAAATGATAAAAAAATAATTTAGTGACATGTCATGTCTGTTACTGTATTGAAGCTAAAATCATATATTCTGTTTGTGACAAAATAGGAAAAAAAAAATATTCAAGTTCAAGACAAATTTTTAAATTAATATGTTACGAAATATGTTAAAGTAATATAATTATATATATCTATATTTCTTAAAATCAGTCCATCTGCAACTCATAAGAGATCTGAGAAGCTTCCCTTTTGATTCAGTCAGGCTCTTTGAGTAGCTAACACACTCGCGGAATGGCACCCATTATTGCATCAATCACAAAGTGCGAGCCAGTGTAGAAGCATTGGCCCGGCAACACATCACTGACCCCTGGACACAAATGCAAAGAATCAAGAATTTGGCCTGTGTTATTTACAACGCAGTGGCTACGTTCATAGCGCCCTGAATCATCTACCATTGGCAGAAAGACACTGGCTTCTTTGAACATTAGCAGACCACCACTATGTTTAGATCATATATATTCTTGCACGCGAACTAGTCAGCCAATGCGTATCCCTAAGCATGCGTGGCTAATGCGCATGCCTAGTTAGGTCCACGTTTAATGGATTACAATACTTAACAGAAGAGGTGTGTGGAAATAACCACAAAAAAGGGGGGGGGGGTGTCACACAACGCAAACACTGTCCGTCCGTTCGGAAACTGGAGTCTTTCACTAAATGTAACGCACTCCCGCAATCACACAAAACGACAGAAAAATCAAACAATAAATTATGATAAAATAACCACTTACTGCTCTGTCTGAAATAAGAAGGGCACTCAGAGAAAACACAGTGTGAAAGGGCGCTCTTATAATGATTGCGGAGACGACATCACTGACCAGTCATGCAGAGATAACGATCCAATTGTGGCACTCAATTTAATGGGAATGCTTATTAATTAGATCTAAATTTAGGGGCCACAACGGATTCCTTGTTGTCCAGGAGACCGGGGAAGAGAAGGGAGCCACTAGGCTGACAGTGAGCCAGCCAGCACGCGGCAGTCCGCGCAAAGAAGAAAAGCGAGCTATGTCACTAGATTGACCAACGAGTTGCAATCCGTGTCTGTGATGGTTGAAAAATCCGGTACGGGGAGCCATTTGTCAAATTTTTGTGAGTCGGACATCGAAGGGGGAAGACGGGCGAATCAGAGAGAAGGAGAGAGAGTAGCAGAGAGTGGCGCAAGTGAGCATCCATATTTGTGGACGCCGCGCAGCGATGCAACCAAGATACGGGCATGAGACGGCCCAAAAACGTAGTTCCAGCAGGTGGTCTGCTAATCTTCTATTTTACCAAAGGACGACTGATACGCTATGGTCACTCAAAGTTCAAATCAAAGTGAATGAGAAACAGCACAGGAGTAGACTACACGCATAAAAAATAATGCAGTGGTGGTCCGAATGCAACGGAGACGTCTCAGTTTGCAGAGGGCGATGGTGGGCACAGCGGAACAGCCATTGTCGCCAAGGCCTTGCTCACTTTGAGCGTGAAACACGACTTCAATTCTTTCTACCCATGTGCCGACCCGACAGCGCTCGACAATTTGAAAATAAAAGTCGTTAGAAGAAACCATCATCTACGCAGAACGGAAAGCTTAGAAGGCCAAGGCGGGAAGAGGGGTGAGAATGAATGGGTGAACAAAAAGTAGAAGGAAAAAGAGTAGGGCGTGAAGTGAACACAATTATTCTCAAATTGCAAACTGCATTCAGGGAGCCACTTACGTAGCCTGCAAACTAGATCTGCGTTCCCGGCTAGCAACTGTGTTACTGTGTATACATTTACAACGCCAATGTACCAGTAACTGGCTATGGTACGGCACAGTTAGTTATCGAAAAATGGGTGTCGTAAAATGAACAAAGTTACAATGGTCCCATGCGCAGACTGAAGAATAAAATGAGGGCTGTCATACAAAATAATGCAGCTAAAGGACCATAAAAACTTAACGAATCATTGAAAGAACAGAATCCAAAATACTATTCTATCAAATAAGTCTAAATGACACGGCATTATTCCTTACCGCATTCATGGCTTGATTTGTGTACTTGTGTTGTTGTGGTAAATCCTAACTCTTTAATTTTGAAGTTTAGTTAGACACATAGAGCTGTTTCTAATCTGGAAGAGCTCTTCCAAAATGTCTTTGCCCGAATAGACTTTCAAGTGTATTTTCTACTTTTGTTATTGTTTTTGAACCAGTGCCTTTTTTAAGAAGTGTGTAGGAAAAACTTCTTTGAAAAAATCAATATATTCCTTTAAATATAAAAAGGAAACTTTGTCAATCTTTATAAATATGTCCATTTTAAATCTACTCAATTGTTTAATCTCAACCTCCGGTAGTTTGAAGCCTGGAAACATCTCTGGCATGAACTTTTACTGGGATTGACCTTTCAAAGTAGTCTTCCGAATCACAGGATAGACGAGTGATCTGTTTGTGATTTTGACCCCGTCAAAATGTAATTAAATTCACGAGAGATCAACAGCGTGTAAGTCAACATGAATTGTTTCTACAAAGTAATTTAATGTTTGTCGAAAAATATACTCTAAATCTAGATTCTAGATCTTGTGAAAGATCGTATGATGATTACGTTGCCCGTCCGTTTCATTAAGACAAGAATAGGACAGGTCGTCGAAGTGTCCTCTGAATCTGATTGAAGATTGTTTTTGTAATTAATTTTGGTTTTGATCGATAGATTTAGATCTAGATCTAGATCTAGATATAATCTAGATCTAGTATGCGGTGGTGAAAGGACTCTTTTACCACAGTCCTCGTCAGGACAACAATTACTTATTATTTGCACACTCATTGTTAATTGAAACGAAAATTGAAACATATAAATGCATTATTCATTATAAAAGTGGCCACCTCTATTCTCACCCGGAATGAGAATAGTGCAGGCGAGTCTTGTGGCTATTCTCACCCGGTGCGCGTTCACCAAATTTTGCGTTCACCCTAAACCACAGAATTCTACACTGTGATAACAGAAAAATTGTAGAATTCTGTGCCATGAACAAACGTTCCATTACAACTGTAGCCTACTAAACTAAAAGCGTACAATTTTGTCTGTGGGCAGTGGAGAGAGAGAGAGAAAGAGAGAGAGGAGTAGCGCGAGAATTTCCGGGCAAAACAAAATGGCGACCCGCGTAGGTCGGCTCGATTCGAAAAGTTAAATAGCCGTAGCATCTTTGTAGACAACCAAATAAATTTACTTTTGGGTTTTAACATCATTTTTTAACTTTGTTTTGGTCAATTTGATCGTCCACACCGATAGACAGTATTCAGAAAGAGACAGAGAGAGAGAGAGAAGAGGGGAGGAGTTGATCTTGCGAGAACTTCCGGGCGGGTGAGAATAGCCACTTTCTATAAAAGTTTTAATCACAGATGCGACTACACACAATACACAAGGGCGTAAATCGGGCTACGATTGGCTGTACCTGTGGTGGGTACTATGGAGCCCAGTGGATGGGCCAAAGGAGATGGGGGAGGGGGGGGAGAAAGTGGAGATGAAAGCAGAAGACAGAATATTGCAAGAGAGGAGACCATTTTAGAGAAGAAAATTTTTCGAAGTGGCTAGCCGTACTTAAGTATAGTAGATCTAGGTTTGGCCCTATCGACTCAAACCTGTTAAGTACACAGGTCTCATTAAATCTAGATCTAGTAATTTTATTCAGGTTCAAATACATGCAAGTCAGTTGTAAGGCACCTTTTGGTTTTGTCTGAAATACAAATACTTTAGGCATTGCAAACTAAAAATTTCATTTACATTTCAGCCATCAATATTAAGTATGGCTAGCCTGACAGTCTAGCCGTTCTTAAGTACGGCTAGCCAAGAAGTCTAGCCGTACATAAATCTTAGGCCCTATTAACATTCCTTTGAATGAGAGGCGAACACCTTAACCTCTAGGCCACGAGAGCCCCTCCCCAGTGTCTCTTCCAGATCTGGCACCTAATGATGTTTATCAATGTATTCTCTTTTCTTTCTTTTTTTGTTTCAGGTCAATGAGAATGATAGCTGTGAAGGATTGCAATTATTGGAAGACTGATTTTCATATATTTTTGTGAACATCTGCTATCTAAGAGGATAAATGGAACTGGCTGTAGGTTGTTTATAAAACTCTTCGTTATACTGCAGCATTGTGAGTATGATTCTTATATATATATATATATACCAATGTTTAAAAGAAATGTTTTTTTCTTCATTGTTCCTCTATGGTGGCAACATGGCTCCTGTGGGAAGAAGGGTGTAAGACCTTGATCTGTTGATTAGACATCATCGTCTATAGAAACGATCTGAATTATTTTTTTTTGGGGGGGGGGGGGCCTACTTGGTTTTTATTTGTTGTGGACCTTAGTCAAAAGCCAAAGCTAGGTCAATATCGAATGTACAGTGGAGAACAGAAGATTGGGATTTATAATGATTTTAATGATGGTTGATTGGGATGTGGGTATAGCATCATTATCATCCCACTTCAAAGGTAATCTCTATGCTCATTATAATTTATTTATTGCTCTGAAAGGACCCTAAGATGGGAAAGTCACCGGCAGAATTAAGCAATTCCTGATACCTTCCAGGCCAAGGCAGGAGAAAGTTGGATGAAATCTGTTGATATATACCCAAACTCTTGAAAGTGAGTCTAAAACTAAAACTCAGTGTGTAGCATGCCACTCCATGAGCATTTCAGTTGAGTCAGTCGAATGTCTTTCCCAAGGGAAAAAAACCCAGTTAAGCTTAGACTGGGATTTGAACCTTTTTTCTTTCAACTTTCAGTTGCTTGTCCAGCTGTCTGATTACTGGCCACGCACACACACAGACCTGCAATATGTTTTTATTGACAGCAGCTTTCCTGTTTTCTTTAAAAAAAGCTCTTTGAGTTGCAAGCGCTGTAAAACCTCTCTTAAAATTAAACTAAAAACTCTTTGACATGGGCCTTGTCCAGGTCACTGATGTTCGTTATTTCCGGGGTGCCTTGATAGTCGAAGCAGACTTTGTGCTGTTGAGGCAAGAGAGGTGAGCAGAGTAAGTCTGATTTTCTGTAAGGACTTCTCTGTTGACATCCACCCCTTGGTGCTCATATAACCTTTTGCAGTTGCGAGCGCTGTAAAACCTCTGTTAAAATAAAATTTTAAAAAGCCTCACAAGGACTCTAATTGTCGTTTTTCTCTTTATTTCCACAGGTGTATAGTTTATATTTATACTTAACATTTTTTATCCGAACCGTTCCGCCTTAAACCGCCAAGATGAGCTTCGAGGTGGAGGAAATCCAGGTGATCGAGCTGAAGATGATGGACAAGCGCAAGTACTTCCCCTTGACCTTGGCCAGCGGGCTCACCATACGCAGCATGCTCTACCCCTTCATGCTCATCAAGACCAGGCTGCAGATCCAGCGCGGCCACACCGTGTACAGGGGGACCTTTGACGCGCTCTTCAAAATCGGGGCCAACGAAGGCGTGTCGGGGTTATACCGAGGATTCTGGGTAAGAATTGTTGGTTTTGGTTTGTTTTGTGGGGTTTTTTTGTGTTCTGGAGAGTTGTCAGATGAGGTGGTCAGTTAAGTAATATTGTCCTTGTTGTTTAGGTAAACTCAGAATGTTGTTTTTGGTATTTATTCAATCCAACAATGAAGTCGAAGTATTTCTTTATTTTGCCCTTAAAAAAAAACTGTGTCTACATCTGTGTTACGTGTTCTGTGAGGATTTCAAATCTTTAGTGGAATTTATATATATGGTATGTGTCTGTTTGTGTGTATATACGTATATATATGGAGTGTGTGTGTGTATGTGTTTGTGTAGATTCTTTGTGAGAATTAGGCTTTGTTTTTGTTTTGTTTTTTTCCTCGAGAGGTGTCAGCTGGTGGTGTTATCCAGCCTGCTGGTGGTAACGACTCTTGTTTATATTATATCTATTTTTTTTTATGTTGCAGTTTTGTCATTTTAGAATTTAAAGATTTTGTTAGTTGTTTTTATGGTGTAGTGGAGGGTTGGATGCGGGTTTGTTTGTTTCGTGTTTTGTTTTCTTTACTTTACTTTAAATTTTCTTTTCCGATCCAGCGGCCATTTGGGTTCTAGATCTAGCGTTTTTTGGGTTTTTTTGTGTGTGTTTCCCTCTGTCATTTCTGTCTCTCTGTCTTACTTTTTCCTTGCACTAAATAGCCATTGTGAATTTTAACCACTCACTAGCTATAGTATTATTGCTTCATTCCTCCTGCTACAAAGAGATTTTTTTCTCACTGAAATCTTAATCTCGTCAAAATTTCTCCACTAGGTGTCCTGCCTGCAGCTGTTCCCGTCCATGGCGTACATTTCGACGTACGAAGGCACACGGCATTACCTGGCAGAACACATGAACATCATGGACAACAGCGTCCGCTCCTTCATTGGTCAGTTTTCTTTTCTTTTTTTTTTTTTTTTTGTAAGTTTTTTTATGTTGCTCGCAACTGCCGAAGGTCATATGAGCACATGGGACACATTTAACATTTTCAGTTGGTAGGAAATTTTGAATTTTTCCCGGGTGGCTGCCGAAACCTACTCAAATAGATTTTTAGACCACCAAGGGGTCTTAAACGTGCGCAGCTTGCACGTCTCAGAGATTTTTCGCCCTTGTCCAAGAAGGGTAGGTGATTGGTCTTACCTACCAGAAGATCAGGGGTGTGGCTGAAAGACAGCAGTAAGAAGGAGCCAAGGAGTAGCAGTAGAAAGGCTGTAGATAGAGTCAGGAGCCCAGATGAGGGGGCAAAGGAGGTCAGTTGTTAAGGATTCACATCTTACTTGGGCAAAGTAGTGAG